AATAAGAGGTCAGCCACTTCAACAGTTCAAGATGGAACAGTCTGTGTCTGTGGAAAGATCAATCCTTCATTGATAAGTCTCTTCACAGCACTCAAGAAATAGTGATGCATTATTTCTAGTGCTGGCTTTCCGCACAAGTAAACATCCTTCCCCGACAATGAAAATATAGCAATACTGTGGTAGAGATTCTTTAATAATGGCACTGTCAAATGCTTGTTATATTTGTAACAGCCTTTTCTCTTACTTTGCTTGTGAATCTTCTACCTTCTAAGCATCTTTATAACATCAATATTAGATAGAAAAAGAAGTCAAATCAAAATTACAAGTTTGAAAAAAAAATTGGTTTTGTCATTGCCGATGAGAAGAAAGATTTGAATACAAGCCCTGTGCTAATACCATTTAGGGACCATCCTAGAAAGCAACATATCTGCCAGTGTGGGTAGTACATCGCCTTGGCAATTGTAGGAGCATACAGAAGTGGAGCTCACTGAGCACAATATCATGGTGAAAAAAAGTCTAGGCAGAAGCAACACTCTGAAATGAATACTCTGAGTATTAAGGTATCCTCAAATACAGGCTCAGTTTGAATTATATCTCAGGAAGATATATCATTGGCCTCACTTCACATAGCTAGTGGAAAACAGTGAAGATTTGAGTTCAGTTTCTGAATTCCAGCCTAGGCCCTTTTCCATTTGCTGAATTTTAAACAGTGACAGATTAGTCAGTACTGAAGACTGAGATGCTAAGCTGATGCTATTGATAAGAATGGTCAACGAAGCTCTAATTATTTGCCAAATTACACTTGTTCTTTTATTTTTAGAGGGCAGTATATTTGACAGGGTTGTCCCCATCATAAGCACTCCCTTTAAAATGAAAAATCTACCAATACATAGGGAAATAGTTGTAAGCTGTCTCCTTTCACAGAGCCGTCTACATTTCCACTTTTGATCTTATTTCCCCCATGCTCAAAGTAAATCATTCCAAAGCCCATATCTTGGAATCTCTGAATGGTAGAGGAATTTTAATCTCTGAATGGTAGAGAATTTTAGTAATATAAACCTCACTTTCCCAGCCCTGATTTTCTCAAGTGAAGGTCAATGATAAGTGACCTCCCTTTTGGGGCATAATTTATGACCATGTGGGCTTTTCTATCGATCTCCTTGAAATGACAGGGTCATAGCACAAGGGAGATAGAGAGGTTGACTCTGAGAGAGCCTACAAATACAAGACCAGATGTGACTAGACAAGGAAGAAATAATAGGGAAGAGAAAAACTGGCTACAAGAGCATAGAAAAGACATCCATCTTGGGATATGCACTCAACATATCCAAAGTTAATACGGTATGTGTTCTTGTGTTTCCTGAAGTTGCCTTTGTGCTCACAGCACCCTATTTTGTACAGTAAGATGAAAGTGTTAAGTCTTTTAAATATTAGCAGCTTAAATGTCTTTCATGCTATCATTTTCCTATCATGCTTCAAACATTTCTTTAAACCTGTTCTAGAGATCCGGTGCTACAAGTAATCATATAATCAGTTTACGCTTCTCATGTTACCCTGAGACCAAAATCTCTTATCCAAGTAGTAAGTGTTGGAAATGTGCAGACAGAAATATGAAATGAATTCATTCAACTGAGTTCAAACTTATGCCTTATTTGTACCTTAGGCATATATCTTGTGTCAATAAAACCTTTTCATTTATTTATTTTTGCACAGATCTTGGATGTGGACTAAACTGAACCTAGAGATACCGATCATCAGTGTAGTATGAAAATGGATAATATGAGGACTGACTGTGTTCCTGGATATGATGCTCCAAAGCTGGAAGCCTGTGATTAAAGCTCTGCACTTCCAACAGAGGCTTCATGCTTTCTTTCAGAACTGACTGTAAGGCTTATCTGTTGAACCACAATGACCAAGTGAATCAGAAATTTGGTTTCAGTGTGTGTGTGTGTGTGTGTGTGTGTGTGTGTGTGTGTGCATGTGTTTGTATCCATATATATCCATGAGCTTTATGCATGAATGTCAATGTGTACCTTCATCAGGGAAATTAATATTTGAATAATCATGTTCAAAACACCACACCACTGTAGAAGCCAAAGAATCAACAAAATAACATCATTTGCATTTCAGTGATGCCCAATGCTCCATCATATCCTCTCAGAAACCTACTTGGCTTCTGGGAGTAGCCAGGTCTCTACCAACTACTCTTTATTCCATCTGTAATTTTTTGTTGAAGAGAGAAACCAATTCAGACCTCTTATTTTTTTTTTTTTTTTGTCTTTTTCCTTTTATCGGTACCAGAGATCGAACTCATGACTGCCTGCTTGCAAGGCAGGCGCTTATGCCACTGAGCTAAATCCCCAGCCCCCTCGGACCTCTTCTTACTATTGCTGGTTAGCTTTCCTATCTATGTAGACCATAAATGTCTCAGAGGTCAGGAAATCAGTCTCATACAAGAAAAACTTAGCCCCCCCCCAAAGATTAGGTCTCTGAAAACACATCCAAGCACTAAAAATGAAGAGCAATAAAAGAGCCATAGCTAAAGACTGTCTTATCAATCAACATAAAACAATCAGTGCATTAGTACATAAGCAAACAGAAGTAGCAAGCAATTTGATATAATACACTGGCCCCTTTTAACAAATTATTAATTAAATGAAGGGGAAAAAAAACCACCTGATTTGACTGAGTCTGTGATTGATATGAGTGCTGCAGTGACACAATAGTGTTTGAGTTGTGCCTTAACCCATTTATACCAGTCTTAAAATTAAGTTCAGAATAGCTGCTAATCATTCAGTATCTTCCGTGAAAAGTATTTCTTTGTTCTCCCTCTCTTTGTCTCTCTATCTCTCTGTCTCTCTCTGTCTCTGTCTCTCTTTGTCTCTGTCTCTCTCTTTCTCTCAATTAAAACATCTGTGGCTAAATAAAATTGGGGAATTCTGGGTATAATTAAATAGATTTTCTTGATTTAAGATTTATCAGAACATTTAATGTGCCAAGAGCACCATGAATTTCTAAGAAAAGCACAAAATTTGTAGCATTTTACAAACTATTTTGACCATAGAACCCTTTTCTGAAGAGTTCTCTGGGGTGGAGAAATAGAGACAACTGTCTTTAGAATACACTTCAGGAAATACTGCTTTAAGTGGCTGACCTCACTGACTTTCAAATAAAACTGCAGGTGAAAGCTGTCCAGGTGGAGTGTGTGCTCCTTTGGAAACTCCCTCTCTCTTCTAATAGACCTAAGGATAGTGTGTGGGGTATTGAAAGTGGAAAGCTTCTCATAACATCTACTTGAGCCATGTGAGAATCTCTTTATGTCAGGAATAACAAACATTCACTGATTTCTGCAATGTGCTGCTAAGATCTGCACATTAATTTAAGAGCTACTTTTAATGTGCCTAATGGAATAGAACTGTTCAAAGATAAAATAATATATAAACTAGATGACCTCCTGGGGTCAAGGTGAGCAGTGGGAGACATTTTAAAAAGAAGGATCTATATATACAGATGTACAGATGATGGAAAGGGTATTGTTCTGATCCATTAAATATCACTGGCTTTCAGGATAGTTAAGTGAGTAGTCCAAGGTCACATAGTACGTGATTGTATCAAGACTAGAAACCAATTCTCTTGAATTTCAATCTTATATACTTGCTTTGTATTGTTTCTGTATTCCTTAGAGGGGCTGGAGGTATAGCCAAACAGACTCATGCCCAAAACAAAACAAAACAAAAATCTCTAAAAATCACACTGGACTAGGCTAGTTTATGGAATGATTACAGAGGGGATCCCTGCCTTAGGTGGGAAGTTAAATGTGATGGCTTCTAAATTCACCGCCTATTCTGAGATCCAATAATTCTAAAATTCCTCAGTCATATTTCTCCCAGGTGAGTTTTCAGATCACAAAATGATAGAAATAGAAGTCACAAATTAACCAAAATTGCTAGCTATATATGGATCTGAGTGACCAGAAACTTGAAATCTTGGATCTTAGAGATCAGAAATTATGAGAAGAGGCACAGTTCTGTATTTGAGCAATGATCAGCCATTTTGATGTATAGTGAATCATCATTTTTAGAATTTGTAAAGTTGAAATACCAAAGATATTTTAAGAGGTAGAATTAAAGACTGATAACTATTCATGCTTATGTTCTAGGATGAGGCACCAGGATTCATTTAGAGCCAACAGAACTAGCCACTGTGTAATTCCCTTGGAATATTTTTTGGTATATATTTACAGACCTTTATGTTCAAGAGAATGGTGCATCTGTCTGATAGAGGCGCCTGGCTGCATTCTTTCCCAGATATTAATATAGGTGGCACTTCAGTAGTATAACCAATGACATGAAGAACCTGATTTGGAGGGGAACAGATGGCAGCATCTTTCTTAGTCTAATTTTAGGATCTTGAAATAGTCCCTTTTTCACACAAACTGTCAGTAGAAACAAATTAAGAGAGCTATGTCATATGGAGAAGTGAGATAGAAAAATAAGGTTCAGTCTATTGCAAAGACAGTGAACCAGAGGCTTCAGTGATTCTCCTATATTTGACTCTTCATAGAACATGAGGGTCACTTCAACCTTCTTTCATCAGACAGGAGGCTATCTAAGAAAAACTGAGTGGGCAATTCTCATCTTAATTATATGTATGGATAATCAATTTTGTATCATATAATAGCTAAATTTATACTCAATTATTTATTGGATTTAGTTTTTAGCAGATCTAGCTTTTAGCACTTTTTTTAGCATATAAAGAAGCTGAAGCTAAATGATCATTATATTTGGTCAATTAGAGAAAGATTAAATCTCAAAGCCTCAGATTCCTGGTCCAATCTTTTGCCTGCTGAAAAGAACTGTGCTCCAAATAAGACATATAATATCAGATAAGGATAGTGAGGTGTAGAAGACGAGTCCCTCAAGCAGAAATAATAGCTTAGGTATGAGACAGTTATCCAAGAATTTGGAAAAATTAGAGAGGTACTTTGAAAAGATACTCACCTGCTTTCCATCCAGAGTGTAGAGTTTTTTGACTACTCCGGTCTCTAGTTTGATGGCTTCAGTGATGTCAGTGAGAACTTGCTCAAAAGAGTGAGCCGTCTTCTTGTTCAGAAGCACACGCACGGCCTTCCTAGGCTTCACCCCACTACGGATGATGGTCACCAGCTTGGGGCGCACAAAGTCCTTATTCTCTCTAGCCTGGGCACTGTTGCTGCTAGCCAGGGACTGAGGAGCTTTCATATTGGCAGATGTCTTTACATTGACAGACCAGTTGGGGTTGACATTCTTGGTGTACTCCACCTTTTTAAAGAAGTTGTCTGAGGAACAGACATAGCTTTCCCCTAAGGGAAAAAATAAGTGGTCAGTTGATTAGTTCAAAGGCATATACATGAACTCTAACCAAACTATATACAGTGAGATTGGGGAAAGATCTTTGGAGAAATGATGATAATAACCAGCTTGAGGTACAGTTCCAAAACGGACTATATTGCAACTCAGATTACGAAAACTCAAAAGTGATCAGCAAAATATGCTTCAATACCTATTGAAGAATCTTGTATAGTTAAGAATTATTAGAATGCTCAAGTTTAATCTAACAAGTGGGATTCTCAGGTTTAATATGGTTTTACTGGGGTTTCTAGGATATTTGTAGTATCTGGAGGCATTACTGGAGCACTTTTAACATGTATCTATTTACTAATGTTCCTGTGCTATTTTTGGACTCATAGCCCCATTTTTTTACACTATCAACCAAGGAGAACTTTCAAAGTTAATACATTCTTCATTCTAAATTAAAATAGGCCAAATAACCCTACATATCATGTACATACTACATACTTGGTAAAAAGTTGGATCATCCTTTATACATAATATTTTGTTAGTCAGTGAAATGTTGAAACGTGCAGTGTGTGTGTGTGTTTTTGTTGTTGTTGTTACTTAGAAATTTTCTGCATCTATGTGTAGGAATGAGCAGTAGAAGACAGAATGATATACATATAGTCATTCAAAATACACACACACAGAGAATTCTTTGTGTTTGCAAGCCTAGCTCTTGCTTCAAAAATACTCTCTGTTTTACATCATGTGCTATGTCTATCCTTGGTTTTGACTGACAGCTTTGTTTTGCCATATTTGACTTTATTCTCTCCCCCCCCCAAAGTAATAAGAACTAAGGAGTAATAAAATCCAAAATGTGTAAATTTTGTTGTAAAAAAGAGAGGGGGGGAAAAAAGAGCTCTAACGGATATAACAGCAAGTGTGTTTAGGGGTGTTAAATAGCTGACTATATTAATGTTTTTGGATCATTGAACACAGCTGTTTGCAGTCTCTCTGTTTGAATGTCCACTTTGTAATCTTTGATACTGTGATTTGAGCAACTATTTCTAAGATGATAATATGTAATCTATTAACAGGTAATTTCTTACTGTTTTTTTTTTTTTTTTTTTTTGTAGTTCTGTATTACATGTACCCTTACACCGCTTTGTTTTGTTTTGTGTTTTTCTCTTTTTCCTCTTAAATAAAATTTAAAAAAAATACTGTCTCACGTTTCTATCATCCCCTTGCGTCTCTCTGTCCTCCCAAATGCTGTTCGCTAGATCTGTGTACTTGAGCACATCTTCATCAGTGCTTCTCCTTGGCTGCTACAAGTAATAAGGTAGTGCTGTGAAGACACATTATATGGATTGGAAGAATCTAGTCTATTTTTTTTACATTTTTCTTGGGCTGGAGGAAATAACTAATACAGGAGAAGAAATGCAGGGGTCCCAGGGATTGGAAGGGATTGGAACCTTGGGACTAGAAGCTGAAGAAAATAGAAAGGGGCTCAGCCTATGGGACAGAATATTGAAAAAAATGTATGCATGGAATAAATTGCATTAGCTCCCAAGTATACAGAAGTTCATCCAGAGGTTTAACTCCAGAAATAGTGTAATTTAATCAATCTTAAGGCATCTGTAATAACCCTAAATAAATAAATAAACCCTAGACAGTAAAAGGAAAACACTAAACACTATTATAGTCTGATGGCTCTTTTCTTTCCTTTGATCTCAGCAAGAGAGCCACACAGGAGACACTCAGAAACACCAAGCTGATAGCTCCCTCTCTTTACAAATATTGACTGCTGTAGTAGCAGATCCTTCAAGTTACGCTAATTCATAAATTTCTTAGTTGGTGCTGAGAGAAAATTCAGTCAGAGGCTCTAGGGCATCTTGGAGTAAACTTATGTATGCGTATGAAGAGGGAGGGAGTGCAGCATCCAAAGCTGCCCCCAGACTCAGAAGCCACTAATGTTCTAATCTGATAGGGGAACCAAGAGAAGGTATGTAGCAAGCATTGTCACCATCCTCTCTTGGCACACACCTCCATGCCCAAGACACAAGAGTCAAAAATACCAGCTAAAATAAACCTGACTTTCTTTGGCTTTTTGTTGACCAACTGAACTTTACTCAAGTGATTAGAGGCTAAGGTCTTTAATTTGTGACTTAAAAGAATAAAGAGGTCCTTTCAATTCTTCCATGTATTCAGAACCAACATTACTCACACACTAGAAACAACCTCTTGCCTTATCACTTCCTCAAATTCATAGGCACCTTCCCAGAGGACATTGCCTTTAGTTAAATGTTTTCCATGACTTGTAATGCACTTTAAAAGTCTATCAGACAACTGGTAATGTGGAACTGTGCAAAGCTATGTATTTATGATTTCACTCCTCCACAGTCTCTTCTGGTGAGTCAGCTGTGTAGTCCCATTAGGACTCTATATGTCTTTTGTCCCCACCTCTTAAACTTCTTAAGCCCCTGAACTATGAATATGATTACTCCCAGATGAAAACGAACATGATGGAAACAGCTACGGTATCATATGGCAACCAAGAACTTTCCAAAGGGCCCACCCTTCAGCCAAATGTATGTTGAGCACCTTCCAAGGATGCATTTCAGTCACTACACTCTCTTTGTGGCCTGAATGCAGGCTAATGGAAAAAGAACAGCTGATATGATGTCATCCAAGAGGGAGTTCAACATCTCCTATTAGTATACCCTTGAGTAAGTCACCTAGTCTCCCATAACTGACTACAGTACCTTTCTTATCTGCAAAGTAGACGTTCTAATAGTAATACCTACTATTAGAAGAGGAAAAGGATGAATGACAACCTGAAAGAAGGGAAAGGGAAAGAGGAAGAGCTGAAGCTGAAGACAAGAAGAAAGCAGCAAGCCTTCTAGGTCCTGATCTCTGTGCACTCTTAACACAGCTCTGCTGAGATTGCCTGCCTCGGAGACTTTCTACTCCTTGGGAGGAGGCTTCTACGTGTTGTAAATACCAAATGCTGGAACTCTATAGCTAATCATCAGCAAATGTACTGCTGCTATTCACTGAGGGCAGGATATTTATAGTGGTTAAGAATGAGTGTCATGGGAATGAGGCAGACCTGGATTCAAGTCTCAATAGGAACTGAGGAGCTGTGTGACCTCAGGCATATCACTTAATCCTGAGTCTCAGCTCTTTCATCTATTAATTGAAGATAACTGAGTGATAACTGAGTTCCTTCTAGGTCTAAAGTTTAGTAAGAAGAGATTTTTTTTTTATTTTCCATCTCAAAAGGACTTGAAGAAATAAAGGTGTTAACAGTACTCAAAGGTTGAAGAAAGAGGTGCCCACTACCAAGGCCCCTCCTCTTTTACTGGAAAGACATGCAATGTGATGCTTTACTAGATTAAGACTTCCTTGTTCTGATTTTGCAAACATTTGACATATCTACTATTAGAGCTTGGTGCTTCCTATACATCTTGCTGTTTGGCACTTGGAGCCCTGGAGAAGTGTGTTGCACCAGCTGAGTTCCTATCCTGCCACAGCTTCTTGCAGGGCTACATCCTACTACTGGAAAACTAGGAAAGCTGATTGCAGAACAAATCAAAGTGGCGATTTTCTGGAACGGAAAACCTGCTTTAGAGTGAGGAGTTAAAGCAATGAAGTCATGGAACTATGGTAAAAATGCAGAATGTGATGAGTTGTAGGTTCAAAATGGTCTAATATCTACCTCTTTCAGTTTTAGGAGGATCCTATTTTCAAAAGTATTAAATAAATTTTTATCTTCTCATAGTAAAATTGCTTTACTTGAGTGTTGTCTTCTCCAGAGCTTCCTAACTCAAGAAAGAAAATACTAAATGGCATTTTATTATATTAAATGATATCTTATTACATTACCATACTTATTAATAATGCAGAATTCCCAGCTATCTTTAAGTCCTAGTTTTTGACAATATACTTGCTTTAGTTGTTAAAAAATAAATTAATTAAAAGGTGATTTCATCCCATTGGAAAAATGAGCTGTGGCAAAGGAATTGGGTCATAGTGTTAATATACAGATCAGATTTTCCAAGACTGCCCTGGTTATAAATATTCTATCACATTTTTTGTATAATAATGCTCAAACTTGCTTCAATTTGTATTTTCAATCACTTCTCAGTCTTTTGGCTAACATAAAGTGTTAGTTTGCATTCACAAAACTGACTGGTAAATATACCCTCCTAAAATTGATCTAGCTTCTTACATATACAGAAAGTGCAAAAAGGATTGGACAGTATATAGTGGGATGAGGAGTAACTCTATAGTGAAAAACAAAAGAAAGAAGACAAAGGCCAAGACAAGACAAATCCACCAGTGGATTTTCAGTCATTGATTTATTGGGATATAGCTAATGAAGGCTACATCCTATGTGGTGCTGCTAAGAAACTTGTACACAGGAAGATCTGGAAAAGCTGACATCAGAAACCTGACAGATCAAAAACACGAAACATAGAACATACTGTCTGCTACCAGAGGCTGAAAGTGTCAAAGGTAGCAGACAGTTGGCCAGAGGCACAAGACTGAGGGTTGCCACAGAATCAGAATGATACCTTTTATTTCATTTTATTTTAGGTTAGATATTTAATAATGTGGTCCTTTGAAAACTTTGTGTGTTCTATATTCCAATTTTCTTTTAAAATATACAAAGTAAAAATCAAAAGCAAGGATTTCTGTATTCCTATAAATTCCTAACAGTGTTGTTAGCTGAAGGAGATCATCAAATTGACCAAATTCAATACTTCCCAAGCCTAAGTGCTCTTAAGAGTCACCTGAGCTGTGGGGAAGAAGGGACCTTTCTCCATTGTTGGTGGGAGTGTAGACTGGTAAAACCACTGTAGAAATCAGTATAGAGAGTCCCTTAAAAATTAGGATTAGAGGTCCCATTCAACTTAGCTATTTCCCTTCTGGTTATCATCCTAGAAGAATTAAAAGTAGCATACCATAGTCATAAATGTGCACTCATATTCATAGCAGCACAATTGGTAATAGCTAAATCCTGGAAAAAAACCAAATGCCCATCAACTGAGGAATGGATAAAAAAAGCTATTTTTTCTATATAATGGAGTACTACTAAACCATAAAGAAGGATAAACTGGAGTTTTATGGATAAAAGGACAAAACCTGAGACTATATTCGTAAGTGAAATAAATCAGACCTATATGTGTAAACATCATACTGTGTCATTAATGTGAGAAACTGAATGTGTAAATAAGACCCAAAATGTACAACAGATACTGTAAGTTGGAAAGAAATTGTTCAAAAGAAGAGACAAACTGTGATAGAAGAAAGAGGAAAAGAAGAAAGGGCAAAAGAAAAAATATATCTATACACAAGACAGTTTCTTTCAGTTCCTTGAAAAGGAAGGTCTGTGCTAATATTGTTTGGACAAGATACCATGTTTCTATCTAGTACTTGTTATAAGTACTACAAAGACAACAACATACAATGTACTAATTATTGTAACTCTCTTACTAACCTGTTTTGAAACTGTTCTATTATTTTTTTCTCTTTAAAATAAAACTAAATAAATAAAAGAGTCACCCGAGATCTGTAAAAACAAATTCTATGGCTCTGCTCCTGGGGAATTCGATTTAATAGTTCCAAAGTGTGGCCCAGAAATCTCTAATCTTTCCAAAGCTTGGAAAAATTTTGAAAGGCAATCAGGTTTGGGAGTCACAGGCTGTTGCAAACCTTCACTAACATCATCATTCACACTGTTATAATTTTCACATTAATCATGGCATCTTATAGCTAAAGTGTATCTTGTCACTGTGTTTCCATGCATCTCTATTTTATCCTCACAACCACCCTAGTGAATGGAGATGCCAGTTGTTGCTAGTTTCACAGTTAAGAATATTACTTGCAAGAGATGTACAAATCATGGTCTGTACATAAAAAAATTATTCCTCAATAAAAAGGATGAAATGCTGAAGCACAGTACAACATTCATTCTAAGAGTAAAGGAACACAAAAGAGCACATAATGTAATTTAATTTATAAGAAAAGGCCAATATAAGTAAATCTATAAAGACATAAAGAAGATGAATAGTTGCCTAGGGATGAAGAAGTTGGGGAAATGGAAAGTGACAGTTAATTGGTACAGAATTTCTTTTGGAGGAGGTGAAAATGGTCTAAAATTACATTACAGTGATAGTTGCACCGCTCAGTTAATTATTTGAAAATCACTGAATTGTAATTTAAGTGGGTAAATTTTATAGTCTGCAAATGACACCTTAGGAATATTACTTTTTAAAAATAATTATTTTAAAAGACGTAATATTAGTCACATTGATGATATGGACAAACCTATGGTCACTTAGCTAAAAGCTGTAAACTAGAAAAACTTGTACAATAAGACTGCTCTCTATGAGTGCTACTATGTTACAGAACAATGGTAAACACTTCATGTCCATTGTCTTACTTCATCCTCAAAACAGTTATTCCCATTTTATATGTGAAAAACTGAGGGTTTCTAATGGTTTCTCTAAGTAAACACAAATCGAGGCTGGCAGATACTAAATGTGAGCCAAATCTAATTCAAAAGACTTCTTTTTTCCATTATAATATGCTGCCTCCAAGGATAGAACCTAAGTCTCCTGATTTTTCACCCAGGAATTTTTCCAAATGGAAGTCTAAGATAAAACAATATATGTGAATTTTTTATCTTTTTTTCAACTTCTTCCAAAGGTAAACAAAGTGAAAAGAGTTTTGTCTTTCTTTCCTGATGAATAGTCTTAAAGGTCAAAATAGGACAGTCATAAATAAGACTCATTTTCTGTATCCTCCTTATCCTAGTAACCTTTCTCATTTGTCTTGGTAGCAGGGGGAAAACTGATCATATTTATCAACATAATTCCAGAGATACCCCTGTTTTTTCTTGACGGAATGGTCAATACTTAGGACTGGAAAAGCATTGACATCCACTGTGACTTGTGGTTGTTGATAACATGAATAAAAGTAACTCAACTTTATTCACATTCTACTTTGTCCAGGAATTCATCAGGAAGTACTACTGCACCCATGAGTGGTACATGAGGGAAGTCAAGAGACGGACTCAAGAGAAGTCAACTGAAAAGAAAGCTGCAGTCTTTTCAAAATTGTATTCATTATATATTTATACTGAACTGAAATTATCACCAACTGTTTCTCAACAGACATGGAAGAAAAGAAGAAAGGAAGGAAGGAAGGAAAAATAAGTGTGTAAAACAAAATGAATTTTGGGAGAAATCTGTACATAATACTTCTCTTATATCAGATACAAAAGTGTTGTAATCTTTGTTCTAAACTCACTGTCACTTTGTTAATAATTTTTATCTAGCATCCTGAGATCATAACTAGTGGAAAGGAAAAAATAATGGGTCAACAGGATGCTTTGTTTGTGAAAGTTAAAGAGAATTCCTTCAAATTTGACGAAGATATGGATTTTGCAGTGACAAAAGACACACACCCTATTGATTACTCTACTGAACAGTTCCCTCAGCCTAGTTTCAAGCCCTTACAGTTTGCCCTGACTCATCTATTGCAAATATGCAGTAGAACAGTGAAACTTCGATGGTCAGAAATGATCTAACATTAACCTCTGACACAATCATTCTGTGCATAATCAAATAATTCAAGCCTCCTTGGCATTACTTTTCAAGGTCAGCTGTGAAGAAAAATCTAGGATTTGAATCCTGAGATTTCAATACAACAACCTTATGGCCACAGTCTTCTATAAGTAATTGTCCCCATCCACTTTGCCTGGCATGAGAAACAATGGCTAATTGATAAAAATGGGGTCTTGTGCAAGGGAGACTCTCATGCTCCTTTGTCTAGGAACACAGGAAATTTAGAAGCATTGAAGTGGAGGCAGCATACTTTTAGAACAAATCGTTAAATATGCTGTTTTGCCCCCTTTTTTGCCATTTTACAACTTGGATTTCCTAGCAATCTATGTTAAACTCACCTTTGTTCAAGACATAGAAGAGAATGCTGAATAATGAGGAAGAATTTGAGGAGTAACATTTTCATTACCATCCTTCCTTGAGGCTGTCCTTCAAAGCATTGTATCATATTAAATTGATTACATATTATACCCACCAATTTAAAAGTAATGATAGGAAATTATCTTCAATATAATTTGTTTGATAATTTAGAATATTAACAAAATTCCTCTAAAGTCTAAGTGACCACCAAGACTTCATGTTTGGGTGAGTTTTGGTAAGAGCTGGGATTTTCCCTATTTTCAGGTGAGTACACAGGCTGTCAGGATTTTCAGCAATCTATCCAAAAAATCCATTGAATGCCAAAATGTAGAGATATTAAAGAACTGACATTCAGTAACTCAGTACTATTCCAATAGGACTGACCTTTATTAAAATACCAGCCATACCTACAGCTTTCTTTGGTATTTCTTCCAATGATCTCAGCCCCAGGGACACACCCTGAAGTGGGCTTTTCAGAAGCAACAGCTGAGCAGCTACTACTTACCTAAAAGTACATATTCTGTGAATATGTCCAGGAAATCCTGCTTTCAGGGTGCATATCTCCAATGAATTACAATTTATAAATCATTTGTTTCTACAGTTCAAAAGCAATTTGAGCATGTTTTCTCTATTAACCCAACCAAATGTACTTCATTGTTACACCCCTAATGATTTCAGTATCTGCCTTGATAGTGCTACGCATAGTTATTTATGAATAAGATCTAAACACCAGAATTCAGACTTTCCATTGTGTACTCTGGTAGGTAAATACCATACATTATCACCACTATCTTTGAACCACAGCAGAGACTGAAGACTATGAAATAGGATGGCTCATGGGTCTACTGATGCCTATGGAATCAGAAATCTGAGCCTCAATCAACCTATGCTTTGAAAGACACATTGCCTAATTTCTTTCCATGAAATCTGAGAATGTAATCATAACCACAATGCCATTTCCCACCAAGGGCTACCACCCACTACTTCAATTACCTTCCTCTAGCTCATCCATGCTTCCGATCTTCCTGGATCCATCAATGGTGTAAATATAACGCACTCCCTGAGGCAGGTTGATGTTGTCAGACAGAGATCGAGTCAGGTCCGCCAGCAAAGCGTCGAAGCTGCGAAAACGGTCAGAGGACACAGCGTATACAATCCCCTTGAAGTAGCGGTCCCCATTGCGGTAGAAACGTACCTTCTTGGCCTTCTTCTCATTGCTCAGTGCCTGCAAGGTTCTGGTTCGGTAGAAGCTACAGTGGGCACTGTGAGTGGGGCTGGGCAGCCCATTCATCCGTGAGCCTCGCATGTTCCTGGATGCCTTATCTCTTTCGTCAAAGTGTCCAAAATCAAGTTCCATATTTTGGTGGAACCTCAGAGACCTGAGTGTTGGGAGAAAGAGGTAAGGATAGGCAAGGAAAAGGGGATGAGGAGGGGGAAAAAAGAAAAGAATTTAAATATTAGCCAGATTCATATCTGCAATCTGCTGCTTGTGAAAAGAACTGGTTGAAAAAAGCCTGTGACCCATCTGCTGTTTGCCCCTGACCTGCAGGAATATTGATCTTAATGGAGAAGAAGGAGGGGCTGGGTAGGGGTGCTGGTGGTTGTGGGGGTGGGGAGTAAGAGACAGAAAGGGAGGTACTTTTGGCACTATTCCAAACAGAGGATAGGGAGGGATTTTGAAAAAGCTTAAAATCCTGGAACTTACTGACAGTGGGTCCTATCAAATTGTAACTTCGGGCTAAATGCATTAAAACTGGCATCTGTTTCCTCACACATGCCCACATGACTAACAGTTGTAAATGAATCCATAGCCTGACAAAAATTCCCCGTGAAGAAAACAGAAGGTTAGCATCTCCAGTGAGGGAAGCAGTCTTTGCATCTCAGTACAATGACTATGAAGGGAAGTGTTTTAATTTTATTCCAAATCCTTTTTCTTACTCCAATGTGTGCTTCCCCTCCCCCAGAATAAACTAGAATTCTGTTTTAAAGGGACAGCCTCCAGGGAATAACCAGTGTCTTTGTGCTATTCATCAAAACCTCTCCCCACCAAGCTGGTGCAGCTATCCAACATTCATAAGAAATAAGCTGGGGGAAAAAGGATTAGAAATCAGTTATTTAACAAGTTATTAGCTCTGCTTTCCTTTTGGTACCATTTGGTCACAATGCCACCCCCCAGGTGCTTGATCCCTTCCCCACCCATGCAACAACAGCTCTTAATGGAATAATTGAATTGTCAAAAGATTCCCAAATGAGTTCCTGAACAGCATATGGGACCTTTACAAGCAAGCACACCTTTCATTGTTCTGGGTTTCTACACTGACCCCAGGGGCATTTTGCTGTCACAGCAGGCAATTTACCCCAAACTTGTCTACTGCCTGGGTGGATTAGCTGAGAAAAAAAATGATCATCTGTCAGCCTCTGATTTTGCCCCTTCTGCAGACCTCTTACCCCTAAAAAACAGTGAAAACTTGAAACCAAATACATCCTCCAAATACAACCTCCAAATACTAGCAAAGATACTGACATCCTAAGAATCAAATTATTAGCATGCATCTCACAGATGGGAATAAAAGGAATCACAAAACAATCAAGGCTCAGCTGCTACACACTGCCATACCAAGACATTTGCAAAACACTAGAGGACAGGATATAAAGCGGGACTGGTGTCTGTTCAGATTTCCAGGCTCAGTTCCTTTTTTTCCAATGTCACCATGACCTATGCTGAGCTCAGCATTGTCTGTGTCAGACAATCTGCAGTAGTAAGACCCCACCTCCTCTAGACAAGTAGCAAGCATTTCCCCAGGCATGCCAATAATACTTTGCTTTGCTTTAGGATCATAGATTTTTAATTAACATCATAGTGAAACAAAGGGACATCAAACTCACTTTTCCAAAGGAAAATCCCAGGTACAGCCTTAAGGAAAAATCCAATAGAATAAGTCAAACAAGGAGAAGAGAAGAAAGCAAGAGAAAGGGAGGAGAGGGAGAGAAAAAAAAGGGAGAGAGATGGAGAGGAAAAGATAAGGGAGAGGCAGAGAGAGAGGGAGGGAGGAGAGAGAGAGAGAGAGAGAGAGAGAGAGAGAGAGAGAGAGAGAGAGAGAGAGAGAGAGACCAAAAGCCCTTTGCCCTGTGCTTTTCCCATTTGACATCTGTTACATTCTGCTTGAAAATCAGTGGAAAGCCCCACTCACCGGTTTTCTGCTGGTTGGGTGGAGATGCTGAGAGAAAGAAAACCAATCTCTCTATGCCTTTGTTGTCTGAGCTCCAAGCAAGAAATTCCTGCCAGGGTGGATAGATGCCTTCTAGGTCCTAGTGCCTTGTCCAGTTTCTCTTCTGTAACTCAGGCTTAGTGAATCCCCCAACCTCCTATGATTAATTACATGCTATTAAAAAAATTTCACAGCCTACATTAACAACTAGAAAGGTTTCATTTATAACTAACAGGAAATTGCAGGGTAGCAAAAAAGATTCCATAGGCAAGTTCAGAATGCTCTAGTGAGCAATGTGCTAGCCCTTTCTTTTAGAAAATTGGCAATTTCACTTAGCCAAAACCTTGGTTTAACCTGCCTGGGGGCAGAACTCAAACAACCAAAGTAGGCTTCTTAGAAATTGTACCTATATTCCTTCACTTTGTTGAATGAAAATTAAATCGGCAAGGTTTTTTAAGGTATTTTAATTCACACATACAACAACTGGCATTTTTGAAATGAAATTAGCAGAGGAAATTAAGAGAGTAGAAAAGAGAGTCAAGACAAAATAGATCTGGAATTTCATGGAAGATAGAAGTGGAAAAGGAACCCCAAACCTTTTAGGCTGCTATAAGAATTTGGTTAATGAAATCCATGATGTATAACTTTGAAAGCTTGAAAGTTCAAACACCACCCAGAGATCCTTCTATGTGAAGTAAATGTTATGGCTACAAGATAAATATTAAAAGATCTCTCCTCAAACTATGTGTTATTCACTGGCTTCTTTATATCAAGTATATTTAAAGAACAAAGAAACATTCAAATGGAAATTATTAGGTCAGGCCAAGCTAAGACAGAAAACAAGGATGAGAGGCTAAATGAGAAGGAGCTACCATCCTCACAACTGAGGCTCTGCACATTAATATGCAGCAGTGTTAAACTATCATGGTTCCATTTCTGCTTGGTTTCCAGGAAACTCAGAGCTAATAGCATGCCTCTATGTGGAAAAATGAGCATCTTTCTTTCTGGAATGTATTAGCTCAGCAAAGCCAAGCTATCTACATTGGTTGGGTGAACATCATCAAGTGTGTATCTTGCCCATTTCACGTCCTCCCAATACCCTGCTACTGCTCTCCAGGTTTCCAATAAGGACCTTAATGGAGCACATGTGTCTGCTCAGTTTGTTTTCATGTGTCATTGCCTTATATTGTAGCCATTTCTTGAACAATTAGGATTATTCAGATCAAAACCAGGGAAATAGCAAAGAATAAGAGCACAGAAATCTGAAAATTTCAGTAAGGTTAATGTCTTAAAACTCCATTCTTGTACATCATAAGTACTCAGTGAATATGCAGCATCAGATTTTGCATCGGAACTCAAAAATCATCATATTTCTGGTAGGACTATAAGAATAGACCAGATGATAAAACTTACACATGAAAGAACTGCAATACATTTTTTAGAAAAAAAATTTTCTCATAACATAGGCTTTGCAACTGTAATCTAGATGCCACCAATATCTTCAGGATATAGCCTAGAATAAGTAACTTTGTTTACCTTATATACACCAGAAAATAGAGATGTGGATAAGGCCAATATTTCCCAGTATGCCTTATGTGGATGATAGTAAGTGCTCTTTTTTTTTTTTTAAATTTATTTATTTATTTATTTATTGGTACCAGAGATTGAATTCATGACTTTGCCCTTGCCAGGCAGGCAATTATGCTGCTGACCTAAATTCCCAACCCTAGTAAGAATTCTTTAAAACAGGGAAAAAAAGATAGTGATGAAAAATGCTTGAAAAAATTATAAACTAATTAAACAAAATGAGTTTTCTTTATCCTAAAACATCAGGTCTTCAACATACTTGAAATATGGTAGAGTCTCCAGTATAACACTTTTTAAAATTTTTATTTTAGTTTAGTTTACAATTATCTGTGTGAAGCACATAATGTTTACATTTCTTCTGAGAAGTTTATACATGTACATAATACACCTTACTTTCTTGTTTTCATCTCGTCCACCCCCACTCCTTTTTTGGTATGTTTAAGTTACATAATGTTTTCATTCTTTGTGTGGAGTTGGTACCTATACAGAACACATCCCAATTTCCTTTTTCATCTCCTATTCCCCTCCTTCCATCTCTTGATTCTTCTCCCTTTTGAGAAAGATCTATCTTCCTACTTTCTACTATCTTTTATTTTGCTCTTTGTTTTTAGTCTGGGCTTTACAAATAAAGAAAACCATGTTATATTTAAACTTGTATGTCTGATCTATTTCAGTTAACATTATGATCTCAAGGCACATCCATTTTCCTATAAATGACTCAAGTTTATCTTTATGACAGAATGGTCCTCTGTTGTGTACTGCGATAGCTAACTGACTGTGTCAACTTGAGTAAGAAATGCCCAACTAAGTTGCATCAGCACAGTTTTGGGGGTGACAAAAAGAATTTAGTAAAGACAGTAGGCTTCTCACCTGAATAGTATAAAAGGGAAGCAAAGGAATGCTCACTGTTTTTTGGGAGGATCTCCACTCTTCACCTTCATCTTGGACTGAAGCACATTCTTTGGCATTTCAGCACAGAGGCTTAAGCCTTCCAGTACAGATCCTTTGCCTTCCTGATATAGACTTGCACAAGACTCTTTAGTGAGCTGTAGCTCTTTGACCTTCAACTGGATCCCTTGTATTTCCAGTGCACAGACAATCCTTTTGCACTCTTCCATTCCTTTCTCTGCAGGCAGCCATTGTAACCATACCTTGTAAATTCTTATATCTACTTACCTTGCATTAAATCTGTTTCTCTAGTGAACACTGACTGATACATGTACAGATACCACATTTTCTTTATCCCATGCATCTGTTGATGGAAATACAGGCCATTTTCAAGATTTAGCTACTATGAACTGTGCTACTATAAGCATCCATGTATCACTGTAATATAATGTTTTAAATTATTTTAGTAAGATACCTAGAAGGGGAAATGCTGGTTCAAATGGAATTTCTAGGTTCAGTTTCTTGAAGACTCGCCATACTGATTTCTATAGTGGTTGAACTACTTTACATTTCCAACAACCATGCAGAAAGCTTTCTTTTTTCCTCATAGCTTCATCAGCATTTGCTATTATTTCATTTCTTGATGAAGACCATTCTTACTGGGGTAAAATGGAACCTCTGTGTTGTTATACTTT